ACTGATTTTCCGTCTTGGTGCGTTTGCGTTCAATCCTACTGGAATTCCGTGGCTCGTTGTCTGGACTTACTGGAATCCCGTACGTCAGGACCTGGACTGACCATAGTTGAGCAGTGCTCACTGATTTTCCGTCTTGGTGCGTTTGCGTTCAATCCTACTGGAATTGCGTGCGTCGTTATCTGGACTTACTGGAATCCCGTACGTCGGGACCTGGACTGACCACAGCAGTTACTCACTGATTTTCCGTCTTGGTGCATTTGCGGTAAATATCTTTTTTAAAACACATTCGTGTGTTTTGTTTGCGTTTTTCCTCTACCAGTGAAGGCGGAGTTGTTAAGATTCTTGGGTTGGCCCCCGAGATAGTAGGGAGAATCCCTATGAAGCGGAGGGGCTGATTACCTTGTCTGTGGCTCTGACTCCCGCGAAAACGAAAGCGTGTCTTTGGGAGTAGCCAGGTGCTGGTCGGTCACTACACGTGACGTGAGCCGAGGTCCGCGTTACATACCAGAAACACCCGAGTAGGAAGTAGTGGTGAGGCATAGGGTTTATGTAAACTGTGATTTGAAACACGTTATAGATAAAAAGTCCACTTAACTTTAAAAAATAAATAAAGCTGTACATGCGTTATGTTACAGATCAAAATGGGACCAAAAAAAGACCACGTACCTAAATGCACCGTAAACAACCTCCTGCCTAATAGCGCTGGTGGTAGTACAGGTACTTCTCAACTGCAAGGTAATATATTGCATGCTGTGTGTATTACGAGGTGTTCCCAAAGCATCCATTAGAAATCACAAATGCCCATAAATATGTTAAAACATCATTAATTTCAGCAGTCGCAGAGACCCCAGTGCGAACAACAGATCGAGACGAACTGCCACCTGTGCAACAGCCACCTGCCACCAGTAGCACTTCTACGAAAGTTATAACAGCCAAACCGAAAATAAGGCCACTGATAGTGCGTGTGGAGATTTGCCCTCAAGCTGAACAAATGGCACGGCGCCTCCTTAGACAGAAACGTAAAAGCCAAGTTCTTGCCAACCATTCCAAAACGGACCAAAGCAAGATGGTTGAAAAGGCCAGAACGTATGGGGTAAGAAAACATAATTGTTTGTTTTTTGTTTTTGTTTTTTTAATTTTTGCCCCTGGATATTTGTTGTCTTTTTTCGTAGATGTAATACCAAACTAATTCATGCCTTTGTTTTCGTTATAGTTTACGATAAAGAACAGGTGTAACAATGAAGGCAATCCATTGACATTCTGCGCCTACTGCAAAGAAAAGGTGACGCATAAGTCACACTTCCAAAAGCACAAAGCTGAAATTGATCCCCGAAAGCTTCATGCCTATACAACAGGCTACTTCACATCTGGATTGAGAGGCCCGCTGCACAAAGGGACAGTTGTGCAGCTTCTGCAAGACTGGGTTAAGGCCGATAAGCTCTGGGCCAACATTGATAATTTACTGGCATGTGTGGGCGTTGGATTGGTTGAGGAAAGGTCAGAGGCGATGCCAATTTACGATCTGGGAACAGTGTTTAAAAGGGGATTTGTAAGTTTTTAAAACCTTTTACCGAAAAGGCTTAACCTTTCGTACGGCCATTGTAATATGAGAATTGTTTTTGCAGAGACCTGGAATCTCCCTGATCCACCAGCAGTTGCTTGATGCCAACGTCGAGATGGACGAGTCCTCTGAAGATATAGATCTTGATGAAGATATGGACCTTAATTAAGGATTTTCAAGAGTGCTCCGTGCTGCGATATACATGCTCCCTAACGAAACTGAGTTGATTGCCTGAACAAACTGTAATGTCAATTCTATTTAATATTATGTTTTACACCGTATGCCATAAAAATACCATATTTAATCTTTATTATTTTTTCTGTGTCAAACTCATATTTTGTTGGCCTGTGTTGTGTTGAACGTGTAAGGCACATTTGTAGTAACCTTGTAGGATTTAAATAAATTTGAACAAATCTCATCTTTGGCGTATTCTTCTGGAAATGACGTTGCTTGGCGAACCCTCACATGGGCGCACAGCCCAAGGGGCAAATCATATTTTTAATGCGGCCACATCGGTTTTCTATTACTGAGACCCGATGTGACAGTCTCAAGCCTGTACAACGCAGAGAGAAAATATTGATGCAAATCAACAAACCAAATCTATCATTCGATTTGTGGCAGCAGATTCCTAATGAAAAAGGTAAGTAGTGTCGTGTACATATTACGTCCCGTCCCCTTATCAAATTAGTCCGTTGACCATACAAATACCACGTGGACACATTTCGGGCCCTTTTTTACCCCTCCCCCCCTGTGGACAGACGTGTCCACGTGGAAAATCGAATATCGATTTTTTATGCTTTTTTTCCAAGCTCTATTGCAAATTTATCAAAATGGCGCAAAGTTTTTAACTTAAATTCGTCAGAGCGGCGTAGGCAGTTACAGTGCACTTTTAAAACAAACACCCCTCCGAATCGAATATCGATTTTTTATGCTTTTTTTACAAGCTCTATTGCAAATTTATCAAAATACCGCAAAGTTTTTAACTTAAATTCGTCAGAGGCTGTTAAAGTGCACTTTTAAAACAAACAACATGACTGTATTTTGTATTTTTTTACTGTACGTTTCTGGTTAATTTTATTCCACG